ATATATATATATATATATATATATATATATATATATATATATATATATATATATATATATATATATATATATATATATATATATATATATATATATATATATATATATATATATATATATATATATATATATATATATATATATTTAGTAGGCTATATAAATTATAATATATATATATATATATAAGCTATATAATATATATACATATATGTGTGTATGTTGTATTTTATCACTAACCTTCAGTGCTTGAAGCTAAAAACAGGATAAAGCTTACAGTAAGTATGCACATAGGTTTCGTCATGGTCAAAAGTAAATTGTGCTTGTACCTGGAGGCTGTTTAAGAAAAACTATTATGACACTCAGTGCTTTTAGTCTTACACGATAATTTTATAGAGACATTGCAAGTGCTTTAATTTTAGTGAAGAAATAATTGTGGTTTCTTGACTTAAAATAAACGGCGCAAAAGCCTATTTTTTAAACGTAACAGATTATCCTTGGACTCTTGGACACTTAAAGACTGAGGGCCTTTACTACAGTGGCGTAATATATACATATATATATATATATATATATATATATATATATATATATATATATATATATATATATATATATATATATATATATATATATATATATATATATATATATATATATATATATTGCACCGCTAGTGAGAAAAACGAAATTAGACACGCGTCTAATAAATAAGTAATATGTAGGCCTATATATATATATATATATATATATATATATATATATATATATATATATATATATATATATATATATATATATATATCGTACACCCAAGTAGCTTGTAAAAAATCAGTCTCTAAATTGAATCACTTGCCTAACTTACTGTCTTCCAAAAACATTTAAAGTTTTATGATTGTCAAAACGAACGAATGTTTTACTTGAATCTAATTAATACTTAATTATAGACCATGTAACTCAACTCAAAGAATTTACCTCTCCTAATATCGCTAATTGAATGCTTTCTCATAAATTTGTTAATAACCTTGTTTAATGTATTTATAGTTTTATTTCTAGTTTAACGTATTATACTTGCGATTTTCGTTTTCGATTTGATAGAATTGTGGATATATTGTAGGTTGTTACGTGGTCCGTGAGTTGTTGCCAGTCTCGCTCGGTCCCACATGGAGAAAATGCACAATGAAAATTTAAGTCAGGGGTGGGGGGGGGGTCGCTTGTTTTATTTCCCGGGCCGCTTGGACAGTCAGTCCACCCCTGTTGTAATCTTTATAAGACAGGACTGTCAACTCCGCGTGCATTCCATGTGGGCAGCCAACAAATATTTGTTTCGTTTACCCACGTAAAATCAACATTTTTGTGCTTTTGTGTTTTTAGTTGTTCTTCACGTCGGGATTATAGTCTTCTATATTTCAACAATATTGTACACACCACCGAGTGGGGAAAAAATTGACACAACATTCAATGCGGGCCTCAAAGGGTTAACCATGAGGGTAAGGATTAGGTTGGCTAACACTAAATCCTGTTTGTGTTCCTACAACAATATAATATAGTAGCGTGTCGTAAGGGACTGTAACAAACATCTAACATCTACTCGGTAATAAAAAGGGAGTGAACTCCCCTTATAGTCTAATAGCATAGCCCTGCGCTGGGCGCGGGTGGCGGTTGCACGTCCGTTGTGTATGCGTCACATTGCTGTGGATACGCAGGTATCGTCTCCATTACAGTGAAGGAATTTCGGTTGAAACGACGAGTCTGCCAGTCGTGAAGTGATTCCCTCAACGCAACCCCTTTGTATTTATTTTTTTGGGTCATAATAATTATGAGGCGGTTTCTTTTTAGCACGAACTTCATATGAATAATAAATAAACAAATGATTAAACCAAACATGAAATAAATAACAATGATTCTAAGCCATTCGCGTGCTTTGAGATTTTGATCTGTCCACTTTCTGGGTGAGAACAACCAATTTTTTTTTTTTAAATTGACAATGACTGCTTAGTTTTCTTACCCATGCCACATGAATGATTAGCTAACGTGCAGTCATCTTGGGTAAGAACTCTCATAACAATTAACTTGAAATGTTACCTAACAGAAATAACAAACAATTGTATCCTTAAAGCTTTAGCCTAAATCTAATAATGCTATTGTCACAATCCTACCTGTAAAGGGGCTATGACGTATAGGAGAGAGTAAAAAGATAATCAAAGATTTTCTTTTTTGTTTGGGCCTATGTTTGGAACATTCATGATACAAATGAGTGTACACCATCACAACACAATGTTAAAGTTGTTTAATTTTCCTGATTTTGCATTTAGTAGGCTTACATTTAAACTACATTAAACTAAACAGAGTATTACTAATTTCATGTGACAATGAAAAAATAAACATAACTAGATCACATTTACATTACTTTGCTTTATAATATTTGAACTACTAATAGTTTAGAAAAAATATTGCAACAACTTAATTTTAACTGAACAAAATTTAAGAAACTCAACTACAAGAATGGCATCTTTAATCCAGAACAGTATACAAACTCTGAACAAACAACGCCAGACAGACGCTTATTTTGAAAGATTACCTAAACAACCAATACACATATTGTGTATTGGCAAAAATAGGCGAGTAACGATTATTTTTGTTCTTTAGGTTGGAATTCTGGTAGCTTGAATTAATATTAAAGCTGTACTTTGAGTTGGGTTAAAGTTGGAGCTAGGCATAGCTTAAAGATGAAAATAAAATAATAAAACTCACCTTAAAAATTCCCAATCTAATGTAACTCAATAGCTGTATTTATAACTATATCACGCTGAATGCATTTCCATTTACAACAGCATTTCTAGCACTGGCCATTGTTGATAAACTTTTTTGAATTACAGCAACACCGGACTTACCGTATTAAACTTGTTGAGCACCGCAACAGCTGTCTTCTTACATCCTATGCTTGCCAATTGCCATTGCAACATTCATGTTTTCGTAGCGGTGGCGTAGTTAATTAATTTAACAAAAGGCAATCATAACCTGCATGTGGATGACTAGAGAATTTAATAAGACCCCTATTTGAACATTCCAAGTGCAAATATAGGTCTAAATATATGTATAATGTATAATACAAATTAAGAAAAGTCTGTGTCTCTATAACAACGCAATAAACTTTTGACGCATCAACAACTCATACAACATAATATACCATATATAAATACCCACCCCAATACCTTTAGGTCTACAAATATTCATATAGGACTACATATACAAACCTCATTTCAAATTAAATTATTACTAAAAAAATATTTAATTAGAAGATTAATGTAGTAAATGGTTTTCTTTTTGGTAGCCTAGCTTGTAGCTAACATGTTTCATGAGATCTGTATCATCCACTGAAAGTGTAGATATTTTAATTTCCAAGCTAAATCAAGAATGTACCTGATTCATTTGAACTAACTGACCTGGATTATCTTCACTGACTATACAATTATGATGTGGATTAGTAGAGACTGAATCCTGAACATTCAATTTAATTAATTATTTAACCCTTTATTTACGGAATTAGGTTCTGAATAAATTTATTTCTTAAACAGTGTGTTATCCTATTACTTTTGGCACATTTAAAGCATATGTCGAAGGAAATTTCGTTTCATAAATTTTTAATGGTCCAAACAGATATTGGTACTTATAGGTACCGTCAGGAATGTAGGACATTTTTTCCAAAAACATTTTTTTTTACAAAACAGGAACAAACGATGCAATGTATAAAACTAATAACATGGCAATCATTATAACAGTCATTTTTTTTTAAATTTCACACATAAATACAGCACAAAAGTATATTTTAAGTACGATTTTTATGGGATTTTCTGTTGGAACACATCTTAGTCCTCAAACACAGCAAAAGTTGCCGACAGGTTATGCTTCCTCATTCTTGTCTGTGGTCTTTCTGGTGTAGCAACGGATGCCGGACTGGACATGCTTTTGCTGGAAGCTTCCGATAGCTATTACTTACAATGAGCCGCATATACAAACATTCAGTACACAACCACTAGTAATACTGGTATAATTATGACAAGTCTACACTGCAGTGTAAAGTTCATAAATAGAAGTGAGCGCAATGTGTTTAGGATAGCCAAAGTGGCCTACTGTTTCGTGTTTAAGGATTAAAATTTACCTTATAGATCTTAACTATATGCAGAAGTATGGACTATTACTAGTCTACAGATATGTATTACGTAATTACTAGTTATTGTAGGCAAGACAGTTTATTGCAGTAAATATAACTAACAATTCAAATCTTACTACTAGAACTAGGCTTTGGTATACAAATGAAGTATACTAAACCTAGTAAACGAGCGTGCAACTGCTACCTTTATTCTTGTTATTCTTTTACTACTAGAAATGAACATGTAATTATAATATTTCTCAGGTAAACCATACGATAACCTTCTTATAAATGTGTAAATATATTTTTTTGGAGTACATTTTGATAATTAATTATCAAAATAATATTTATGTCACTCCACCTCGAAAATCTGCCATTTCCTAAAAATCCTAAAAAAATGACCGTGTGCCCTGACGGTACTTATAAGTCCACTTGTAAACATCGATCTAATACATAGACAATTTTAGTAAAATTGTATAATTGGAAGCTAAACGCGTTTGCCTGACTATTGGAGGTGCCAATAAAAAATATTTGGGGATGAAAACTTCAAGAGTAAGGTAAAACAAAGCGAAATCAGGAACGTGTGTGAGAACGTTACAGAACAATTGTGAACTACCGATACAGCAAGACATTGAAATTGGCGCCAAACCAAAAAATTTCAATAAACATCGATCCCTCCAACTACCTGTGACTCAGGGTAGATAATACTATTAATTACATCAATAATTTTTAAAATTCGTGTTAAATTAAAAAAAATTCAGGCACTTAATTAAAGTGGTACTTATAAGTACAGTCAGTAGATAAAGGGTTAAGGTTACATAAACACAACAAAGCAGGAACAATTGGAGAGGTTCAAAGATAGGTTTTATTTGATTATTTTCTATACATTTTGTACACCAACAAGAAAAATCAAAACTCTGTAAAAAAGATTGTCTATTCTTGTGGTTTGGCCTAAGTCTGTAAAAGAATATAAAAATGTAATTATAGAATGGCTTTAACATTATAATAATCAAACATATTTTGCATATTCAGAAAATATTAGAAAACATTTTTCTAAAATAACTGGAAATGTGTGTAGTTATATGTGTGCAGTTAAAACACAGTGTGTAGTTACATTATTGTAACAATCAGAGTTTCTTCCAGGCATCTCTTCGGGGGGGGGGGGGGCAAAGCCCCCCCGAAAATTTTTTACCGCTCCCCCCCCCCCCCCCCCCGAACGAAATGAAATTTATATAATATATATAGAAAATATATACTTTTAACAGTGTCCGCCCTCCCCCCCCCCCCGAAAATTTCTAGTGCCCCCCCCCCCCCCCCCCCCCGGAGAAAAAAGTCTGGAAGAAACACTGGTAACAATGCAGAGAGATCCTGAACAGTTAGCTAGTGTTTCTGAAGATTTTCTTAAATGAACTGATGGTGTATAGTCAACTAAATCTCAGGGTATCTACTAGAAGCCTTACTACTTAAGCAAAAAAAAAAATTGTGATTTTACTGAATAAACTGACTGCATGAAGTTACCCAATGTATTCAGAAAATCAATCAACAAAGGCTCTGGGCAAGTTTAAGCTGAATTTGGCTTAAGCTCTCAAAGCTCTCAGCCATGTAGACATCACTAGGACTGCTGGCAATTTTATTTAGCTCCGTGCTTGAAGCTCCGGACCCTATGCCAACAGCAATGATGTTGATGCCTTGATCTTTCAATGCTTGTGCAGCTTGCTCAGCTAGAAAAAGGGAAATATCTTAAATATACTATCAATTTAAAAAGCACAACAATAGTTTCATAAATAGTTTAAACTTCATCAATTATGCTAAAACTTGTTTTGCATGCTTACATACCAATATTATTATCAGTAGCAATTATTTTTAATTGTATGCTAATTTTTTAAAAACTTTATAAGTACTAGACATAAAAGTGTCTTGTTTATGGCTAATTAGGGTGTGTATCTACCTCCATACATTTAAAACTGTCTCAGAAAATAATCTTGATTTTTTTTTCTAGTCGTGCTTACTTTTTTTAGGATCATTGGAAATGCCATTTGTTAAAAGGACCACAGTTTTAACTGCCTGTGGCCTGTCACATGAGGTGGTGCTGAACATGCCGTCTGTGATAACATGCTCTAATGCCAGGTTTGTCCAGGTTTGACTGCCCATGTATGGGGCGGCTAAAATTGCCTGAGAATTTCATCAACAAATTGTGAGGATTACATCAATAAATTGTGAGGATTACATCAATACATTACTGTCTTGAAAACATTGCAGATACTTTTACTAAAGTGTGACTAATAATTTTTTAATATAAAATAAACATAATCTTTATAACAATTGTAATAGTCTAATAAAAAAATCTATGGAATGGCATCGTTCAATGGTAGAGCATACAAATGCTAACCTGAAAGTTTAAAGTTCGAATCCGGGCCCAAGTCCACGAAACATCCCTGATGGGTACCCTGATTCACATTTGGGAAAGGCAGCTGGGCTGCCCACACTATCCCTATATATGCCTAGGTCACAGAAACAGGTAAACTCTACCTCGCTTGCCCTATGGGCATATTTGAAACTGAATTTTACTACTTACTATTACTTCATACTAATTATAATAATTTATTACTAGGCGCATTTAGTATAACTTTCAATGTGACCTTGCTATTATTTTAGCATAAACAGAGTATAAAGTTTCTTTTGCATCAATGAATTACTTCCTGACCTAGGTTCCAATTTTTTCCCATAGATTTGTTTTACCAAAGAGTTTAACCTCTTACTTGTTGAATGGACTGCTGGTCACTGAATGTGTTCAAATCAAACAACTCCTGGACACTAGTGCCAAAGATAAGAGCACCAAACTGAGTCGCATCTTCGCTGACGTTGAACTGAGAGACCAGTCGGGATGTGAAGTCAAGCTGTAACTGGTAGTTGCTTTTACCAATACTACTTGATGAATCCAGCACGAAGACGATGTCCGCCAAAGTGATACACGGCACAACTAAAAAAAATTAGATTCTTAATTTTGAGAGAACATATGACGATTTACATAAATTTTGTGTTTTCTTGTAGGCTACTTGGAGCATGAAAAAGCATGACAATAGCTAGACTAGCTAGAATCACCCTATTTTTTGTTTAGTATAGGTCTTTTAGGCAGGACAATAAATTATTTCTGTGTTTTTAGGCCTGCAACCAAACAATTATCACATGTAATGCATCTGACTACTTATTTCACAACTGCTCTATGTAAAATATAATGGATCTACCTACTGGACAATCATTCAATGTGTACCTACTTATATCACACTGTGTGGTTTCCGTCAAGCTAACAACATAACCATGGGCACAGGAACAAATGAAACTACCAACAGTGTTGGTACAGTTGTGTTCACAAGGAGATTTGCTGGATGCACATTCATTGACATCTATACAAGTTCATGTCAACAAAGGTTATACAGTGCAAATTTCAAGTTTACTTTGATGTTATCAAAGGTTAAACAGCATAAGTTTAAAGTTAAATGTTTGCAATGGCAAAACTATTGAAATCACAAAGCAGTTTAATTCTTGTTTGTAATATCATGGTCTTATTTTTATTATAATTAACACAGAAGTAAAAAAATGAATAAATTCTAAACATAAAGCAAATACATAAGCTGAAGAAGGTACAACAAAATAAACACACTTGAATCATCATCATAACATGATGACTTGAAAACAGACCATGAATGAGTCTCACTTTTTAAGTTACCTAATTAACTTACCAACACAGGCTCCATTGCTGTATACATAGCCACTTCGACAAGAACAACTGTAGCTCCCAATGGTATTGGTACAGATATGTGGACAAGGGGAGGTCAAACACTCATTGATATCTGGTAATAAAATACAGGGTTATCTTCACTATATGGGAACTCAAACACTCATGGATATCTGGTAATCAAAAACAGGGTTATCTTCACTTTATGGGAACTCAAACATTCATTGATATCTGGTAATAAAATACAGGGTTATCTTTACTATATGGGAACTCAAACATTCATTGATATCTTGTAATAAAATACAGGGTTATGTTAACTTTATGGAATAAATGGCAGAAAAAAAAATCTTTAAAAATCTACATGAACCATTAATAAGGGTAATTATGAAAAGTTACTAGGTAATGTGTTACCAACTTTAACAGGAAACAATTCTTACTCTTGGCAACAGAAAAAATTCACTACATTCACTAATCACAACTTGAGTTTAATGTGTATCACTGACAATAATAAATAATTTAAATACAAGGACTTTTGAAAATAAAGTTTAACAGGACAAGAGGACCTAGCTGTAAACCTAATACAGTTAAACAGGACAAGAGGACCTACCTGTAAACCTAATACAGTTAAACAGGACAAGAGGGCCTAACTGTACACCTCTTACAGTTAAACAGGACAAGAGGACCTACCTGTACACCTAATACAGTTAAACAGGACAAGAGGACCTACCTGTACACCTAATACAGTTAAACAGGACAAGAGGACCTACCTGTACACCTGGTTGGGTCACTCACACTAACACTGAAGCCAGACCTACAGGTGCAAACGAATTTGCCAAAGGTATTAGTGCAGGTCTGTTCACAAGGTGAGCCAAGGGTGCTGTTGCACTCATTGATATCTGAAAAATAAATAAGTACTGTTTATTTTTATAGTATTACTAGTTTGAATAGAGATGGCGTGGCCTAGCAGTAGAGGGGTAGACTGCTAACCTGAAAGTCTTGAGTTTGAATTTGGTTCAAGTTAGTAGAACATCCATGAGTCCACCCAGCTCTGATGAATAACTTACCCACATTAGGGAAAGTTGGCTGGGTATAGCGCTTACAAAACAATCACTTTATATGCAGAGGTCACAGAAATAGGTGACTTGCTTCACTTGCTCCATAGACCGTCAGGTTCAAAAAGGGAACTTTACTTTACTTTGTACTAGTTTGAAATTAGTTTGGTCACATGAGTTTAAAATTTGAGAAAAATGTACTAATTTGGAAGCTAAATAAATTGAGAGTTTGATGATAAATTGCAGTAAGAAAAAACTTACCCTGACAAGCTGAAGAGTTGGTCGCACTGACAGCAAAACCTGTCCTGCAGGAACAGGTGTAGCCTGTGGCAGTGTTGGTGCAGGTTTGTTGGCAGGGGGAAGTACTGCAGTCACCTGTTAGAGTAAATCAAGGGATGGACCACCTATTTCACAGTAGAACAAATTGAAGCATAAAGTAAGATAAGAATGCTCTTTAGACCTAGGGATCTATTGACAGATGAAGTAGAGTTCATCTGTTTCTTGACATTGGCATATGAAAAGAATGTGTGGTCACCACTTTGCCAGGTGCCTTTAATTTCCCTAACATGAATTAGATACCCTTCAGAGCTGAGTGGACTCAGGGACGTTCTAGTGACTTGTACCCAGATAAGAAATCGATACTTTGGGTTAACAGCTAAAGCTTTACTGCTTAGACCACGCCCTCACATAGTAAGAAGGTTATGTTGATATTATTTTCATCCACTATATTTTATTATAAATTGTAATCCAGTTTCTAATTTTGAAGACTTTAAATTAACAGCATCCTTACCTGTTCTTACTGTCTGTACTGATATTTAAATAAAGACAATGACGTTAAAATAAAAGTAAAAATACAGTTAGGCTACATTAAATAATAAAAATTTACTTTGCATTTATTGGTAGCCAGAAAATAAAATAAATTTAGGAAAATATAATTTGGCTTATTTTAAATGCATAGGAATCCATTGACTACATTAAAACCAACTTGGCTAAACAATAAAATTATTATGTGTACCTAAATACAATTTATGCTATGTTCCAACCTACCAACACATTTTGTGGGATCAGTAGCGCTAACAACATAGCCAGCAGTACAGGAACATGAGTAGCCTCCAGCTGTGTTCACACAAATTTGTTCACAGGGTCGGTTGACAGTGGATGCACATTCATTGACATCTATACAAGTTCATGTCAACAAAGGTTATACAGTGCAAATTTCAAGTTTACTTTGATGTTAACAAAGGTTAAACAGCATAAGTTGAAAGTTAAATGTTTGCAATGGCAAAACTGTTGAAATCACAAAGCAGTTTAATTCTTGTTTTTAATATCATGGTCTTATTTTTATTAACACAGAACTAAAAAGATGAATAAATTATAAACATAAAGTTTTAATTTAGTAAGAGCAAATACATGAGCTGAAGACAGTATAACAACATAAACACACTTGAATCATCACCATAAATTATGAATTTTTAAAAGTTGTTTAATAAACTTACCAACACAGGCTCCATTGCTGTATACATAGCCACTTCGACAAGAACAACTGTAGCTCCCAATGGTGTTAGTACAGATTTGTGGACAAGGGGAGCGCAAACACTCATTGATATCTGGTAATAAAATACAGGGTTATGTTCACTATATGGGAACTCAAACACTCATTGATATCTGGTAATAAAATACAGGGTTATGTTCACTATATGGGAACTCAAACACTCATTGATATCTGGTAATCAAAAACAGGGTTATCTTCACTTTATGGGAACTCAAACATTCATTGATATCTTGTAATAAAATACAGGGTTATGTTAACTTTATGGAATAGATGGCAGAAAAAAAATCTTTAAAAATCTACATGAACCATTAATAAGGGTAATTATGAAAAGTTCCTAGGTAATGTGTTACCAACTTTAACAGGAAACAATTCTTACTCTTGGCAACAGAAAAAATTCACTACATTCACTAATCACAACTTGAGTTTAATGTGTATCTCTGACAATAATAAATAATTTAAATACAAGGACTTTTGGAAAAAGTTTATCAACATTAGATGACTTAAAGGCCAAAACAAAATTTCAGTCAACTGTTATGTAGGACATATCAAACTTTATATAATGAGGTTTGAGAAATAAACTGCGATGGGCTACTTTAAACTTTAGGAACCAACAACCTGTGAGTAACTTACCAACACATTTAGTTGGATCTGTGGTGCTGGTAGTGAACCCTGACCTACACGAGCAGGTGAAACTTCCAGGTGTGTTGACACAGTTCTGTTCACACGGAGGACTGGCTGTGTTGGCACATTCATTGATATCTGTCCACATTTTATTATTGGTGAATCCATTATATAATTTAGTTTTGTTTTCACTTTCTCAATCTAGTTTTGTTTTCACTTTTTCAATCCAGTTTTGTTTTCAATTTCTCAATCTAGTTTTGTTTTCAATTTCTCATTGTTTCTATTGTTACATTTATAAGTAAAATAAGTTTAAATCAATATGTTAATTTTTTCAAAATCATTTTATGTAACAAATAAAAAATCTTTAATTCCCATAACTTATAAAAATTACGTCATACATTATTTACCAATACATAGAAGAAATTATATCTGCTTAATAACCGGAGCAGTACCAGGAAATAAGATTTAATACTTGTTAGGGCAATTTCCTACACCATAAGGCTAGTCATTTTTTGGGTACAGGCATTACAGAAAAAGATTTCAATTCTAACAGTGATTCTGCAGTTTTAAGTTATAAACAGTAATGTAACACTACTTGATTTATTCAGGAGACTTACCGACACATTTGGTGGGATCTGTAGCACTGATTGTGTATCCTGATCTACATGAGCAAGTGAAGCTTCCAATTGTGTTGGAACATATCTGCTCACATGGTGGATTTGTTGGGTTGTTGCATTTATTTATGTCTGCAATCATTTTAGAATTAAATGGGAACATTGTTCAGATAATATTTGCGTCTATGATTGTTATAATTTAAGCTATTGTTAAGAAAGTACGCCTATTATATATATATATATATATATATATATATATATATATATATATATATATATATATATATATATATATATATATATATAAAGCAATTTATGTGTGTGTGTTTGTTTGTCCTTTATGCATTACTACACCTCTCATCACATCGCCGTGAAACTTTGGGAAGTTGTCGAGAATATTCCTGGGGAGGTTTCTGCGAAAAAAAATATTTCAAATTCGCAAGGGCGGCGCCACGGGAGGGTGCGATTTTTCTCTATATACGGTATATAAAAATAGTAAACGTGAATTGCAGTGACACCGTTCATCCGATAGGCATGAAACTTTGGGAAGTTGTTGAGAATATTCCTGGGTAGGTTTCTGCGAAAACAAAATATTTCAAATTCGCAGGGGTGGCGCCCCAAAAGGGCGCGATTTGTTTTTTCTATATACAGTATATAAAAATAAAAGTCGATTTTGGTTTGGCATCGTTCATCCGATAGCCATGAGACTTTAGGGAGTTCATTATACCACTCTAGGGAAGGGTTCTGTAAAAAAATAATTTTTAATTTCGCAAGGGCGGCGCCACGGGAGGGTCCGATTTTTCTCTATTTACGGTATATAAAAATAATAAAAGTGAAATGCAGTGACACCGTTTATCCGATAGGCATGAAACTTTGGGGAGCTCATTATAAAACTCTAGGGAATGGTTCTGTAAAAAAACATTTTTAATTTCGCAAGGGCGGCGCCACGGGAGGGTGCGATTTTTCTCAATATACGGTTTATAAAAAAATATTGTTTAATATTGCAAAGGCGGCGCCCCCCGTTGGGGGAGCGATTTTTTTTCTCTATACACGGAATATAAAAAATAAAACTCGGATGCGGTTCATCCGAGTGCCATGAATTTTTAGGGAGTAGATGAGAATACTCCCGAGAATATTTCTGCGAAAAAGAAAACTTAAGTTTCTTACGGGGGGCGCCATATAGGGTACAACTTTCGTCAATACACGGTTTGGCGCCCAGAGTCTTAGAGCGACTAAGTTGGCACTTAGCATACGTTAATCGAGCGTCCTGCATAGCGAGTAAGGGGTACTACTATATTCAGCGGTAAAACTACAACAGGCTTCTAAAATTAACTTTGTAACGCGAGGAAATCCTTCTGTACAGTTTCGTCACCTTGCTAAAGATGAAAAAATAACTTTTTGAATCTGAGGAGCCTACTGTAGAGTTTCGTTACTTTGCGAATGATGCAATAAGCATCTATTATTAGACACTCCAGTCAGAAATTGAGATCGAGCATCTTATAATAGACCATTAGTAACGCTAGCATATTGCATCAGTCACACTGATATTTAAAAACACGTCAAATAATTTTTTTACGTGTAAAAGAAAGAAAATCCTGTTCATTTGTGTCACTTTAGCGAATGACGAAATCTGCATCATTATTAACAGGATGCTATTTGGCCGATGGCGCCTGTTAGTTTTAAGGAGCCAGGGGTCGTACGCCGCGCCTATGCGGTAGTGTAATCGGGGGGTGGGGCCCTGAGAGCGCCCCTCTACGTCTCTGACACAGAGGCGGACACCGAAGTGTGTTCTACCATATATTTCGGTGAGTGATTAATGTACACTCAAGATTTTCATGCGGTAGTGTAGGTAAACCCGTGTCCTGATATTTATGATCCAAGAACAGGCATTGTTTACATTTAAATAACTCATTTTTTAGAAAAGAAGGTCACGCGTCTAAGAACATATAATTATAATTGATCACGCGTTGGTGAAATCCTAATATATTTCGTCAAACTTTCATCTATCCCCGCGGAAACGCGCGGGGGTCGGGTACGCTAGTATATATATATATATATATATATATATATATATATATATATATATATATATATATATATATATATATATATATATATATATATATATATATATATATATATAAATACATATATACATCTATATATATATATAAATAACCTTGAGTTTGATACAGGCAGGTGGTCAAAATTATAAAATTATAATAGGGCCTATGATAAAACACTATTACTTATACTTATAGATTACAATCATTATTATCAATGGTAGGACTGATAAACTGATAAAAAAAAAGAGTCAAAGAATAAAGAATTCATCCAAAATAATAAACTGAATTATTTTTCTTTTGGCTTTCCTTTAGACTTTTAGAGTATCTTTAAAAACTATCTTTTTAATAGATCTGAATGTAGATCTAAATCTAATTTTAAAAATGTTTTCTTACAGTGTAAAAACTTTTTACCTTGACTATATATACATTTTATGCTGCCCAGTACGTTGGTACACACTTGCTGACACGACTGGTTAAACGTTACAGCACATTCGTTGATGTCTGTAGGAAAAAATATGTTTGTTTTACAAATCAAAATAGTTGTGTGATTGATTCATAGTCATACTGATACGGAACTCATATAGATATTAGAATCTACTTCTTAGTCTTTCTCAGCTAAATAACTTCAAATAAAGGCGAATGTAGACTTCATAACTTGCCAGGACAAGCAAAAATAATTAAAAATATAGATCTAGATTCTAGATCTAAATTACTAGAATCTCGATTATAATCTGTTTTGGCATAATGTAAAATTTTGTAAAAAAACTAGTGCTAGTGTTTTCTAGAGGTCTAAGATGTAGATCTAAGTAATAATATTTTTAGTAGTGGTGGGCTAATTAAAATGTTTTAATATGTTATCGTTGTCAAGGGTAGGGTTGAATCAAAATGTCAATATGTTCACACTCCTGGACTATTTTCTTTTACATCTAACCTTGGCATTTGGTTGGATCAGTTGCGCTAACAGCATATCCCGGCATGCAAGAACAGCTATAACCGGTGTTTGCATTTGTACACGTCTGCTGACAAGGGGAAGAACTGCAATCTACACCAAAACAAATCCTGATTATAACATTTTCAATATATCGCACATCAGACTATTTATTCCCTTATAAATTTGAACATGAATTAAACTTTATTCCTGATTGAAATGAACCCAAGTTTGTCTTTTCGGATAACAGCAGTAGCGTACGCAGGGGGGGGAGCAGGGGGAGCCGCCGCTCCCCCTCTGGCCATTTTCAGCAAATTGGCGCCTTTTTGGAAACTTTTTAAACTCAAAGTTTTAAACAATGATATTTGTTAAAAAAATATTTGTGGTCGGCACATCTATGTAAATCACAAGATTTCTTTTCATGCAGCAATTAAGCATTATTGTACTAGTCTAGTAGTTTCTACGTTTACAACACGTATTAACAGCTGCATCAGTTTGCCATTCTAAAATTAACTATTATGATGCATTGCAATGTTTAAAAAACCTCCTCGGGTAGTACCACTTGGGAAGAGGGGTGTTAAGTTTAAGGCAACTGTATAATGTATTTGCTTACGAATATACGAATAATTGAATTAGAAAATGTTATACATAAAACTTCACACATAATTACCTTATATATATACAGTTTGAATCGTGTGATTAATTTAAAAAAAATACAATACAGAAACAAATACATGTGATATGGCACCTCTATTTTAATTTACTTATGAGCAAACTGCGTAGTGGTGGAGAGATTTTGACAAAGTCAACAACGTCATCACGATGAAGTAGTAGTATTTTTACAGTCTGGGCGATAGTGATTACGATTACAAATTATATGAAACAGTTACAACCCCCCTCCCCCATGGACCCATCTGTAAAAAAAAAAATTTCATAATACCACTGCTATTTATTTAAATCTATTTATGTAATATATATTTGTGTAATATATATTTGTGTAATATAGATTTATGTTTAGAACAGTAATCTAAAAACTGACGCTATGTTCACTCTGAGTTGGTTATCTCCCCCCCCCCACACACACACCTCACCACCACAGTTGTGTAGAGCGACATTAATGTCACACCTAGGTATACACTGGGTTGGATAATTGACCTAAAGTAACCGGACAGTGGTGAATGAAGTTGAACCCCCCCCCCCCTTACCCACCCCGAACTGATCTGTTAAGTACATGTAGAAAAACGCGTAATGATGTACCAAAGTACCATGCCGCCAGAAAATTAGCTTTTTAAACGTAAAACTCTGTGAATATTGTTTTTGCAATTACCAGTAAAAAGGTGTGTGATCAATGCAGTGATCTAACCCATACCTATCACTATGTTAACAAATTATCTCTAACGAGCACAAAGAAGCAGTAGTTAATTAAAAATATATGACCTGAACTAAAAGACCAATATTTAGTTAAATGTAGGACGTTATTCCGAATGGTTTTCTATTATATCGAAAAGCGTGGTTTTATACCAACACTGATTTTAAAAACTTTCATTATGCTGTAATACTTTAGCATTTATGGTGACGATATATTAAATTCTGATTATAGACAAAAATATTTTGTAAACACGAATAGTGTTAAACAATTTCATTATATTCTAAAGTAATTATTTATTTGTTTTGACATTTACAATTAAATGTGTAGATATATACATATTTATATTAAGATAGTGATTATTTACCCTATTTCACTTGTCTTAAATAATTTCCTAGGAATTTTATTTTACAAGAATTATAAAATAGATTGTGTTACGTTCATAGTTTTTGGTTGTAGTGTGTGTATATTTTTTTGTTTTTGTTTAGATTGATACAATTTTTGTTTTGTCGGCCTACATTTTGTTTTTTCTTATTTCTTCAGAGTGCTACTTTCAATTTATTTTACAACATAGCGAAGTAATAACATACAGCTAGTATATATATATATATATATATATATATATATATATATATATATATATATATATATATATATATATATATATATATATATGTAAAATACACTTATACAGAACTTGTTAAAAATTCTGCGCCTTTTTTTTGTTCTTTTCGCTCCCCCTACAAAGAAAACCTGGATACGCCTCTGGATAACAGATACAAAGTAAGTACAACTTCCGGTTTAAATTGTGCGCACAATTGCAATACTTCACGCCTCCGGTATACGATAAAGGAGAGATGAAATAGGTTAATGAATTCACATCTAGGTTATAATAGTAATTTCATTACTGTAAACTTACCATTTCGTACAGTCCCCACTGAAGAAAAATTCAATATTAAATTAAGAACAATTAATTTACTGGTTCTCTTTGTAAATAAAAATGTCAATTCAATAACAAATTATTAACAAGTTATTTTGACAGTTACTGCTCACAAAAACTTAGTTTTAGCAAAATCTTTAGGTTTAAATCATAGTTTAAAAAAAAATTGTTACATACATTTTATTGATGCTTTCAATTGATTTCACGTATATTTGTTTGCATTTTAAGATCTTTAAAAAAAATGTAACACTTATAGATTGCTGTAAATGAATAGAAATATCCGACTCACCAACACATTTGGAAGGATATGTGGAGCTGACCACATACCCGGATGCACACGAGCACGTGAAGCTGCCCAGTGTGTTGGTACACACTTGCTGACACGGCCGGTTAAACGCTACAGCACATTCGTTGATGTCTGTAGGAAAAAAAAATATTTGTTTTACAAATCAAAATAGTTGTCTGATTGATTCATACTGATACGGAACTCATAATATAGAAATTAGAATCTATTTCTTAGTCTTTCTTCAAGTAGGTTTTAGCTTATAAATCGTGAAAACTTACCTACATAGCTTTGTTTACTTCTCAACGTACCATGGTACATAGCTCACTGTTTCAATAAGACCTCACTTAAGCACTTGGTGGGGTTACTGTGACCAATGTTTCTTCCAGACTTTTTTTCTCCGGGGGGGGGGGGGCACTTGAAATATTCGGGGGGGGGGCGGACTAAATTTTCCGGGGGGGGGGGGCGGACACTGTTAAAAGTATTTATCTTCTATCTAAATTCCGTTTCGTTCTGGGGGTGATAGACTTTCGTGGGGGTGGGGGTGAGAGCCCAGAGGCGTAGCTGGGGGGGGGGGGGGGGCGCCCCATGCGCCGACCCTAAGGGGGCGCCAAAAGGGGTGGGAAAAATTTTAAAGCTGATTTTATGCTACAGTTTTGAATTATAAATGGGCTACACGCCTTTACTTACTGATTTAACTGTTTCATACCTTGATTACAAACTGTAAAACATATACTCTTAAGAAACAGAGACCGGCAAAACCGCTTTCCAGCTTTTCCTAGTTGGGGGGGGGGGCGCTTTTTCGAGACTTAAATTGGAAGAATTTACACTAGATTGTTGATTCGATAACGGTTTCCACTATTAAAAGAAACCAATTGTATTAAAACGTATCGTACGCTTATTTAACCGTAAAATACGTAAGTGACTCTTATCAAGATGGTGCAGGGGGGGGGGGGACTTTTAGGCTAAAATAAAATCGCAAAATTAAAGTAAACAACCTTTAGCACTTAGAAAGAAACTAATTGAACTACAGTACATTGTACGATTGTGTAACATTTTAAAAAAAAATTTGTTACGTTAAAAAACGCTCTACAAACTTTGTACAAGATGGTTGGGAGGTGTATGTGTGTGGGGGGAGTGGGAGGAGCGGTTTTTTCGCGAACAAAAATCGCAAGTATTTTTACTGGATTGGTGAGTAGATAACTCTCTTAACACTTAATAAAGTAAAGAAACGAAAAGTATTAACGCGTAATGTACAATTTTATTAGCCCCTTTTGTTAAGAATTGACGGGACTAGTTCTTTGTAAAATTCTTAAGATTCTCTCAACTTCAACGTGAGAGATCATATACTTTTAAAACTATAATACACTATTATTGAAATTTATCTAAAGACACAACCTAAAGTAGACTAAATAAGCATGCATCCTAAAGCAGTGGTTCTTAACCTTTTTGGAGGTATCGAACCCTACAAGTTTCATATGCGCGTTCACCGAATCCTTCTAAATAGTTTTAATTTATCGTCCATATTGACAAAATCTTATCGTGAATCACATATCGGTTGTGTGCCTTGACCTCCGCACAAGCTCTGACACGTACATACCGAACCTCTTGGGTTCGGTTGAACCCAAGTTAAGAACCACTGCTCTAAGTTCTTTTGATTTTCTTTTTTACTTTCTCTTATATACGAAGTATAGAGAAAGTATTGTAATCGTGCAAATCTTTGCAAATCTCGACGTTTTACACCTACCCGAGTCGGAAAAACATAGTTTTGCAATCTTGTCCGTATGTCTGTGTGTGTGTTACGTGTGTGTGTGTGTGTGTCTATAAACACGATTGCTTGAGTACCGTTACAGCTAGGTTGATGAAATTTCATATATAAGTATTTTATCAAAATCGTAGATCCTTATCAACTTTTGAGCGATTTCCGATAACCGGAAGTGGTACTTTTTCTACTTTGAATTTTCCAAAAGCCTATAACTTGAGTACTATTTCAAATAGATAAATGAAATTTCACATGTACGTAAAACATCTAATACTTTAGCTTCTAACAAATTGTGAGTAATTTCCGTTGACCGGAAGTAGTAATTTTCGCTATTTCCATTTTCTCAACAAAAAAAAAACGCATGTAAATTTATATTTGTTTTTAGTCCGCACTATTATGCACATTTTGTTTTGGCGGTCACTTGGTGCGCAATTCTTTTTTTCTACGAGATTCTATTCTATTTTTAAAAGTTTAAGTAATTAAAAATCATGTCTATATTCCGAGTTGCCTTCCCACGTAGTGTTATATAAGAATATTCGAGAAAGTTTAGGGGAGATCACTCCCGGTTTATGTTTTTTTACGTTTCAGTTTCCTAAGGAGCATAGGCGTAGGCAACACTTCGTCAACTCACTTGATTTTTATGAAAATAGAACCCTAAAAATCCAGCCTCCCACATCTCTATTTCAAACTATTTTCTTCAGACATTTTGTGTCTCCTTCTCTTACTCTTTCCCCGTTGACTTTACACCAGCACCTGCTAAGTAATGTTATTTACTGTCTTTCTGATATTGTGCCCTAACCACCACTTTTTCCATGCTCTTATTTCATTCACCACTGTCTGTTATCTAGCTCCGAGCCATACAGTAAAAGAGACTTCACATTTAGCTATAGATCCTGAATGAATTTTTTTTGACAATGCATTTGAATTCCACATTGTCTTAGAGTGTTAAACGCGTTTTATTGCTGCTGATTATAATCAGAACGTCATTAAACTGGTTATTACTGCTTCTTCAATCAGAACAATTAGTTCTGCATTTGTTGTTGGCTGCACTAGCGTAGGCAGGGGGGTCATAACCCCCATAGACCCTTCGGTATATATATAAAGAGGGGGGTGCAAATCAAAAGTTTGAGGGGGGGGGGGTGCAAATCGAAAGTTTGTCCCCGGGTAAAAATTTGAACCCCCTCAAGAGACGATCCTGGCTACGCTACTGGTTGACTGTGTGCACGAAAGCAGGGCACATCTGCGAAATCCAAGACTTGTTTCCTCTAGCTTATTTCATTATACCATCAACAAGTCAACGAAATACTCAAGTCTTAGTCCAATGCGAACAATAAATGTTTCTGATAACTTGCTCTTGTATGTCACTTGTTTGTCCTTATTCTAACTAACTTATAATCCAACTATGGACTATATCACAACAGAGATCTTTCCAAAAATAGAACATACAAGGCTGGTCTAAACAAATTAGCGCTTGCTACAAACCTCCCTCTAACTCAGTTCAGGCATATTTTTTGCCTGACATTACTAATCTTTTGTGAAAGGAAAAGACATCTTAATGTGAATTTAATTGGCGTAGAGTAAAGTTTTAAGGAACAAAAATCATACACTGTAATTATTAAACATTGTCCGCTTACACACACATACACCCTTACACACACAAACACGCTTATATATACACACGATCACACACACGATTATACACTTACACGCACACATACACACACACATATATATATATATATATATATATATATATATATATATATATATATATATATATATATATATAAGCGGGGGGGGGGGGGGAGCGACAAATTGATAGTTCACCCCGGGCGTCGGGAAGGGTCGCGACGCCTCTGTTGGAGCCCGTTCCGAAGAGATGCATGGAAGAAACCCTAACTGTGACTGATGGTGTAGCCAGTAGCTAGTAGTACATCTTACCTAAGCACTTGGTGGGGTCAGTGCTACTGATGATGTAGCCAGTAGCTAGTAGTACATCTTACCTAAGCACTTGGTGGGGTCAGTGCTACTGATGATGTAGCCAGTAGCCAGTATTTGATCTTACCTACACACTTGGTGGGGGTCAGTGCTACTGATGATGTAGCCAGTAGCCAGTATTTGATCTTACCTACACACTTGGTGGGGTCAGTGCTACTGATGATGTAGCCAGCCCTACAGGAACACGTGTAGCCAGTGTTTGTGTTCTGACAAATCTGTTGACAAGGCGCGCCGACACAGTTCCCTACAGAGAAATGTTTTTTCTTCTCTAAATACATCGTTTGTAAGTAAAAGCGTTGAGAGTTAGTCATTATAGCGATATTATCAAATACCAGAAGATTATGAAGCCAAAGGGTAATACAAGTCTAAATAATAAACAAACAGTTTTGTTATGTATTGCTATTTATTTTCCAATGATCGCGGTCAACCAGTGGTTGCTTAGAGCTGTAAACTTTGTGATGTGCTAAATACATTTGTATTTTATGTTTGATTTTTTTTCGTCGACTCTGTATTTTTTTAGGCACACGTTAACTTACCTGAGGGTTTTATTGTGGTAGGTGTTGTTGTAGTAGGTACACTCGTCATAGGCTTTACAGTGGTGGGCGTCAACGTAATTGTCTTTATAGTGGTGGTCGTTTGTGTCGTGGGCTTTGCTGTTGTCGGTGCTGATGTAGCTGAAATGTAAGAGGACATCGTAAATAAATACCATACAGCAGATTAATGGAGATTTGAATTATTGCGTTACAAGCTGTTTGACGTCATCCCATTGTAACTCTCTTTTTATTTAAATTTAATCAGAAAACTGTTTTAATTTCTGGACACGCTTTGTGTATCACATTATCTTGTATTATGTACGAACAAGTAAACATAGATGCTAGGTTCAGCACTTAAAATAAAAAAAAACTCGAACTGTGCGGCAGGCAAAGTTCACCTGGTTCAACCTCGACATTTACA